CATTTCTGAAGAAGGGTCTAGGCCCGAAACGTCAGCTTTCCTGCTCCTCTGATGCTGCTTGGCCTGCTGTGTTTATCCAGCTCTACACCTGGTTATCTCTTGTTATTACGCAGTTTACTTTTCACCCACTTGAAGTAAACGGTGATTTTTAACAAAGTCAATTTGAACTTGAATTGTTACCTGTTTGGGACATCAATGTTCAGGATGCAAGTCTCCAGTAATTCCCCGTGAAGGTCTGTACATGATGCTAGAAGCCACCTCTGATCATGCGATAAACAATAACCAACAAAGAGCACATTGTACTTCTGGCTTGCCTCTCCAAATGTCTCACCTAGCTCTGTTTGTTTGTCTTTAATCGGTGCCAAGATATAAGGAGGTGAATATACTTGGATTGGATGGGGACGCTGGAATTCAAAAAAAAAATTGACACAGTGCATACAAAGAAAACGTGTTTCTCCTTTTTGTACTTAAGTAAAGAGTAACTTTAGACAGGAGATTGGGCAACAGCTAGTTTCTTCACAACGAGAAGGGAATAATGAAGGTACATATCAGATGTCAACAGTTAAAGCAACATCAGAAGAGAACATGAATTGTCTGGTTTACTATTCTCTCAACAAAGATTAAAGCAGAAGAAATCACATCACTGATTACAAAATTATCAGACAAGGAAAGGTTCCACAGCACCATAACAAAATAATTCTTTCATACGAGGGTGGAATGAGATAATTAACAAGTATTCTATATCAGTTTAGAATACATTTAAAAGTATGAAGGAAACAACTGTTCAGAACTTAAGATGAAAGAGTTAATAATGATTTCTCTTGCATTTCGAATAGTATGAAACACAAGCAGACATCAAAACAGTATGTAAATGGAAACAAACTCTACATCAAGTTGTTAACAAGGTTAGAGTAATTAACATTCTTATAACTGGTATACACCTGACCTTTTACTCGAAGAATTTTACTCAAAATGCATACAATGGACAATAAGACTGGTGATGTGCAATAATTAGTGCAAGAACGGTAAACAGGAACAGAAGTTACAAACTAATACGCACCTCTGAATGTTTAAGGGTCATATCTATTGTGGAAGCAGGACCAAAGCCAGTTAGTGATTTAATGTGGATCTGTGTGGGAAGCGGCCGTCTGCATTGAGTGTAAACCGAGAATGCCAGTGATTTTAAGTGCTGGATATAGAAAGTGTGATCATCTTTCACTGGTTGTAGTAGATACTGGCAAGGCACAATCTGAAATGAAACAGAAGTTTCACGCTTTTATGTATCACATTGCGAGGTAACAACTTTAAATTATGGAAGATTTCAAATTGCTGGAAGCATGCTCATTTACAACTTGAATTCTTTGCAAGAAGGTTAGCCATTCCAATGTTCTGTATTAGTCCAAGATGGAGTGTTGAATGAAAACAAAAACTGAAGTGCTACAGACCATTCAGCAAGTTGTAAAAATTGATGTACAATAGATATTGAAAAAATTAAATTTCAATTTACCTGGACAGTGAATGCATTTCTCATATGCTCTGGTAGATTATCCAGCATCTCCATGTAGCACCTTAACAGGCCTAACAGCCATCCACTAGTAAAAGATGACTCCTCTTCTGAGGAATATGTAAAAGGATCAACAAGATAAATGACGACAGCTGGTGGATATGCATTGCTGTCAGCTGACTCAGCTTCAGTAGGAATTCCTATCCTTTCCCTTTCTGTAGTACTGTAATAGAAGAATATATAATGCAAAATGACTGTCAAACAATTGCTCAATTAATTTATGATATCACATATTTTAACATATCATTCTGTCTGAAGTGAAAAGGCACACATCAATAATTCTATTAATAGTAGTCTCCCACAGCATTACTGTGAGCAAGTAGATGCAACCTGCTCTTCGATTGATTGCTGTTGCCTGGTCTTGTCCAGTCCTCCTCTTCCTCCATTAGCTGCCAAGGTCTCAATGTCTCAATGTGATTAAATGTATTTCCCTTTGAAGGGAGTTAATAAAATTCTCATTTGAAGGATTGGAAGTTTTTTCAAAGACGAATTAAATACTTGGCAATCAATTTGCTACTATGCAATTTTGTTAAGTGTATCTAAGAGATTAATAATTAACCACAGCAAGACTTTTGGCGGCTGCCAAATTTTGGAAGTATATGTTCAGCGATGTGAAACTACACATTTCTATGTACTATTTATTCAAATTTTACATCACGCATACACCAGGTATGCCAACTAGCATAGATCAAATACTTCACATTGCTGTGAATATACAAGTCCTCAGGCTGCCTGTTAACAAATCCCACTGAATAATATGAGCTCTTAACTGGGGTTATAATGTGTACAAATCCCTATAAACAAATTCATTTGTTACTAATATGTACTTAACATCACACTTACCTCTCTTGCACTTCTTGCTGCTGTGCAGAACTCTGGGCATCTGAATCTCCACTTCCACTGGGTGTACTTGCTGGAGGTCTCTCGGTACTGGCGCCTGAGCTACCACTCTGCACCTGAGTAGCCCCAGCTGTCCCACCAAATCCTGAAGAGGATGTACCTGTTTGATGCAAAACGGGGGTAGTTGTTGTGGTGGTAGTGGAGGTAGTAGAAGTGGAGCAGGTACCTGTTGACCCACTTACAACAGCAGTGCTGCCAGTTGTTGCACTGCTACTGCCAGTGCTGGTTGTGGAAGTCGCTGTGGTGCCAGTTGTCACTGGTGCAGAAGTAACCCCTGTTCCCAACAGTGGCCCACTGCTTCCAGTTGTTGTCTGCCCCTGGGTACTAGATGATGTTGGTTGGTGTTTAGGTGGAATCAGCAAGTTGTTGTCCAGCTGAAGTGTAGCCAGGTAAGGTGCTGGATTATAAGGGATAAAAGATATAAAAATTATAGAATTTGAAGGACTAAGTTCAAATCGGTTTTCAGCAATATTCGTTATATAAACATGTACATAAATTGCACTTAAGTAATAAAAAGCTTAAAGCCAAATCAATGCCCGTACCATACGATTTAATATCCTACAGTAAAGCTGTAAATAAAATCAATTAATTTCAAGAACAAAGTTGCTCTTTAATGAGAACATATTGTTCATTCTTTTCATAAGCACTGATATCAATAATTTTACTTACCCAAGTGATGGCGGCAGACTTGAGCGTATAGCTTTAACTTGGCAAGATTGTCATTTTCATCACTAACCCAAGCTTGAGAGAACCATTCGTCAACAGATTCATCTGCCAGCTTTTTTGCAGAACTCTTACCAACCCGCATAATGCCATCTCTCAATACTTTGCAGATAGGTCTATGCTCACCAAGTCTGCATGTCTGTTACAACAAAAAAAATTCCAAGTCAATATGCAAATACTAAGAATAGTTTTGATTAAAAGGGAAGGAATATAATTACAAACTGTGGCCACTCCTGCATTCCCTAAAGTTCTAAGTATACTTAAAATTCCACAAGCCGATACCCTGCATCATCCATACAAAATCTTACTAAGCTCTTAATACATACAAGTGATAAAATGTTAACTTCTATCCTTTGTAAATCTATATATAACCTACTCCTGTTTAATCATGTATGTTGTTTACATTTTGTTATGAAAATGTCTCAGAACTCCAAAGTATTTATTGACATTTTAAAAAATTTTTAATTACAAAATGTGCTTTTTTGAAAAGGAGGACAAAACTAGCATTCTGTGAGGATCGTAGGTGAAGAACTAGCCCTTAGTTACCACTGTGATGCCTGTAGAGACCACCTCTAACTCAAACCAATTTAAACAAAGGAACAGAACAATGAAAGACTCAAATGCTGAATTTCATTCACAATCAAAAAGGTATCCAAGACAACAGAAACTGAAATAATCTCCAAAACTATGGATCATGATATCATCAATGTCACCAGCACCTTCCATGACAACAGCCGCAAAGTTCAAAAATTCACTCTTGACAAAAGATTCAGAGATGGATCCTTTTTTATAAAAAAAACTTCTCTTTTTAACTCATCTCATTTCTAATCCAATTGTGCGTGTGTTGCTGATTCTCCTCACATGTATAACAAATACACTCTTTTGTTAATTCAATTAGCCTGGTTAAATATGTTCCTTTTAAAACAAAAGAACATTTGGATCTGGGAGAAAGGGGAGCAATCCTTTTTAAAGTAACCTTGTTACAAACCACAAAAGGGTGGGTTACACAAAAAAGAGAGTTTGTTCTTCCCTCCTTCCCTGGGAGCTTAACAGTTTGAAGAATCTAATCTGGAACTCTAATGAACTGGGGAATTTCACACAGGTCTGCTTGCAACAATTTTAAAAAATTATCCACAGGTTTAATCTGAGCAACTCTGAATCTACTATATAAAAAACTGCATTCCCCATTTAGCCTTAGTTCAAATTACAGTTGCTCAGTTTTATTTTGAAACACTGAAGATTACTTCAAGTGAAATACACCAAAAGTTTCTGAAAGCCCAATACAGCGAATTATCCATGTTGCATTACCAATAATTTAAATTTTTTTTGCAGTAATACTGAAAAACTAAATAACGATATTAATTTATTTGTAACGATTAAAATTCTTCCAATCTTCTAAGTTTTTTTGCACAGTAATAGCATTATTGGACAATTACATACATTTCATTGATGCAGTTAAGCATTTGTTCTGACCTCATACACAGCACTAAGATCCCTGAAGAAATTTTTGGCTCCAGTGAGCAAGGCCTCATTTTCTGGACAGACCACAATGTAGGCTACATCACGCTGAGAACCATATGGTTCAAGAAGCAGCTTCTCCCAAAAGGGCAGTGCAAAAGGAGAGATCATCAGGAAGTCTTTGTCATAGCCCAGAAGCAGTGTGGGGATGGGAAGTGGCTCTGGTGATTCTTCTGAACCTGAACAACAGACAATTACAGAACATTTAGTTTGAGATAATAGCAGAATTTTGCAAATATCAGGATTATTTTCACACTATCATTTGCCTCATATTATGGCACAATTAAATATAGTCAGCATGGATTTGTGAGGGGTAGATCATGCCTCACAGACCTTACTGAATTCTTTGAAGAAGTGACCAAACACGTGGATGAAGGCAGAGCCGTGGATGTGGTATTCATGGATTTAAGTAATGCGTTTGATAAGGTTCCCCATAGTAGGCTCATGCAGAAAGTAAGGAAGCATGGCATAGGGGGAAATGTGGCAGATTGGATTCAGAATTGGCTGACCCTTAGAAGACAAAGGGTGGTAGCGGATGGAAAATATTCAACATGGTGCTCATTTACAAGTGGTGTACCACATGGATCTGTTCTGGGTCCTCTTCTATTTGTGATTTTTGTAAATGATTTGGATGTGGGAGTGTAAGGGTGGATTAGTAAGTTCGCGGACAATACGAAGGTGGGTCAAGTTGTGAATAGCGCGGAGGGCTGTTCTTGGTTACAAAGGGACATTAATAGGATGCAGAGCTGGGCTGAGAAGTGGCAGATGGCGTTTAACCCTGAAAAGTGTGAGGTGATTCATTTTGGAAGGACAAACTTGAAAGCAGAATACAGGATTAACGGAAAGATTCTTGGCAGCGTGGAGGAGCAGGGGGATCTCGGGGCTCATGTCCACAGTTCCCTGAAAGCTGCCACCCAGGTGGATAGAGTTGTTAAGGTGGCGCATGGTGTGTTAGCTTTCAATAATAGAGGGATTGAGTTCAAGAGCCGTGAAGTCACGCTCAAGTACTGTGTCCAATTCTGGCCGCCTCATTGCAGGAAAGATGTGGAAGCGTTGGAAAAGGTGCAGAGGAGATTTACCAGGATGCTGCCTGGAATGGAGGGAAGGTCTTACGAGGAAAGGTTGAGAGAGCTAGGACTTTTCTCTTTAGAATGACGAAGGATGAGAGGTGACTTGATAGAAGTGTACAAAATGCTCAGAGGTATAGATAGAGTGGATAGCCAAACTTTTTCCTAGGGTGGAGGTAGCTATTACAAGGGGGCATAGTTTTAAAGCAAGTGGAGGTAGATATAGGGGAGATGTCAGAGGTAGGTTCTTGAGCGGTAGGGGCGTGGAATACATTGCTGGAGAGGGTTGGCCTCATTAGGGGCATTTAAGTGGCTATTAGAAAGGCATATGGATAATAGTATAAGGTCAGGGTGGAGGTTAGATAGACCTTCGATTTAGGGTAAAGGTTCGGCACAACATCGTGGGTCGAAGGGCCTGTACCGTGCTGTACAGTTCTATGTTCTATAATTTTCAAACATCAACACATACTCATTGATACTTGATAACATGCCAGATTAACTATAAAATATTTACCAGTTTTTGGATAAATTACCTTAGAGTTTTGTCCCAATTATTTCACTACTCTAATCTTCAACCTTACTAAATTATGAATACTACTACTAAGATACATTCCTCGAGGCTATAACTCAATTCCATTTCAATTTTCTACTAGTGAAGTCCTGAAGAATGGTAATACCCAAAACGTTGACTTCTTTCCTCCAGATGCTGCCTGGTTCTTCCAGCCTCCTGTTTGTCTACCTTGGATGCCAGCATCTGCAGTTTTTTTGTTTCTATTTCTTCTTGTCATTTTATTTGGAATTATTGAAACCGATCAGGATTATTATAATATTCACCACTGTCATGAACTAAAAAAGTTATAAGATTGTATCAAACCAAGAAAAAGTTATGCAATAATGAACGGCTGCTTACAGGATTGGGCAGAAGAAACAGAAAATAATGGTTAAAAAAGATTAACAGGGAGGAGAAAAAGATGAGAAAGCCATCTGGAAAAATACATTCAGAAAGTATGAGCTTCCGCAGATGCTTACGTAAACATTAAGAGAGCACTGATTCTACGGAAAATGTATCTGGAGAATTAATAATAGAATAATTATTAATTATTCCATTATTAATAATAACGGAAATGGCAGATGAATAGAACTGGCAATTTACATTGGTCTTCACTGGAGAGGATACCAGGAACAGCTCAGAAATGGTTGTAAATCAGGAAATGGAACGGAAGGAGGTACCTTAAAAAAGCACAATCACCAGGGAAGTGGTACTGAACAAATTGTGGGAGCTGTGGACTAACAAGTTCCCAGGTCCTGATGGATAAAATGTTAACTTCTATCCTTTTGTAAATCTATATATAATCTACTCATGTTTAATCAAGTATGTTGTTTATATTTTGTTAGGAGGGTGTCTCAGAACCCTAAAGTATTTATTGACATTTTTAAAAATTTTCAATTACAAAATGTGTTGCTTTGAAAAGGAAGACGAAACTAGCATTCTGAGAGGATCATAGATGAAGACCTATCCCTTAATTACCCCTGTGATGCCAGCAGAGACCCCCTTGGGTCTTCGAAGCAGCAGTGAATGAGATAGTTGATATATTGGTTTTAGTTTTCCAAAAGGTTCTGTTAGTTTAGAAAATTGAGAATGTACGTCTTGAATTCAAAAAGGGCAGGGACAAAAAGAATATAAGATATAGGGGTAGAATTATACCATTCTGCCCAATACGTCTGCTCCACCATTCAATCATGGCTGATAAGTTCCTCAACCCTGTACTCTTGCATCCTCACCGTAACCCTATACCAAAAACCTATCCATCTCTGCCTTAAATATACTCAATGAGTTGGCCTCCGCAGCTCTCTGCGGTAATGAATTCCACAGATTAGCCATCCTCTGGGTGAAGAAATTCCTCCTCATCAGTTCTAAAGGGTCATCCCTTCACTGACACTGTACATTTGGGTCCTAGTCTGTTCTACTCAAACTTTTTCTCCATGTCCACTCTATCCAGGGATCTCAATATTCTGCAAGTTTCATTCAGATTCCCACTCATCCTTCTAAACTTCATCAAGTACAGACCCAGCATCCTCAACTGCTCCTCATACGACAAGCCCTTCGTTTCCGTTAACCTCCTTCGGACCCCCTCCAACACCAGCGTATCTGTCCTTTTCTACGGGGCGCAAAACTGCTCACAATCTCAAAAACAGGAAAGCACAGGCCAATCAGCTTAACATTTGACACAGGAATACTAGAAGCTATTATTAAAAAAGGGCACTTAGATAGGTTCAAGGTAATCAGGCAGTCGAGTATGGTGTTGTGAAAGGGAAATCATGTTTAACCAAGTTTTTGGAGTTTAGGTGCAATCATCCCAATGGTCCAACTCCGAATATTAGTCCCACTGTCCCATTAAATGGAACTCCACTGTTCCACACAATCTGTTTTGTCACATGTTGAGCTTTGTGAACATTTGTCTCATTTAACATGCATGTCAGGATAATTCTACAGTACATGTTTTTAAAAAGTATGAAAGTGATAGAACAGAATCTGCAAAATTTAGAAAATGTTTTAATTTGCACAAATATCTCCTGGTATCATCAGGAAACAGAATAATCGAAATGCTTAGTTGGTGAATGCTATATTACATCTTGCGAGGCAACTTAAATAGGAATAGCAAAAATTCAAACATGGTTCAGAATTTTCTTCTACCGTGTCTAAAAATGAAAACTGGAATTTACCATAGGATCCTCTGCCTATCTTGTGGAATTGTTGCCAGGTGAGAGGTCCTTGCACATGTTGGATATTCTCCCATGTCCTTCCTGTCCGTTTCTTTTGAATGGCATCTTGTAGAAAAGGCTGCAGTGATAGTAGCACACGGACCACATCCTGGGAGGAAAGGATGCTTATATCCAGAACTGCAGACAAGAAACTCTGTTATTGCAATGCATTAAAAAGCCAAATCCTGGATGCAAATTTACCACCATCAATACTTAGCCATGAAGTACACAAACTATCTTTTGCTTTTAAAAATTAATCTTCCTCACCCTTTGAAATTTGTCATCTTAAGCCCATCCGCAATAAATCCATCTTCGATCCTTCTGGCCTTGCAAACTTGCACTCAATCCCCAACCTTCCTTCTCCAATGTTTGACACACGTTACTGATGTTTCCCATATAGGTGTTATCTCTTTCCAGTGAACGGAAGTTTGAACTTCTCTAAATCAGATTTCTGGACCTGCTTCAATGACCTTGACAGAGGTCAAAATTTAGTGAAATCCAGTCTGAATGTAATCATGGTGACTTTATTTTTGCTTATCCTTCTCAGCACATCTGCAAGATCCAACACAACTTACAATATTCTCCAATTTATCCTGCCATAGTCCTGGTAAGCAAAGTTTCCCTTGTCTGGTTTCAACTAATTCATTGTAGCCAGGAAACACCCTGTAATGCCTTTTTTTCTGGTTACTGATGACACCCAACTCTACATCAGTGCCACTTATCCAAAATACTTTACAGCTCATTTAACATGCATGGATTAGCCAATGCTACCTCCAAAAGAACCAACATGGATATTGAAACTATTGTCTGGTTTCCCTGTCACAAATTTTGCTTCCTAGCCACAAATTCTAAATCCCTCCTCACCTGTTTCAGCTTGAACCAAACTTGAATTCTGAACTCAGCCTTCAACTCCATCTCTCAATCATGAGATGATGAGACTCATCATCTACTACAACTCTCTGTACTATCACCAACTCCACCCACACCTCAGCTGATGAAATGCTCAAGTCAGGTACTATTGTAATTAATTGTTATGCTTTTAATCCCTCCAGATTCTACCATTCCATTGTTTTCTTGGTCAAATTCCTCTTCAGCATCCTTCATAAACTGAAGCCGACCCAAAACACTGTTACCTGTATTTAAACTCAATGCATTCATCTATAGCTGCTCTACTTAATCATCTGAAAGGGGTTCATCCAGCTGGAATCAAAACAATACACTTCCTGCTCCATTCCGGTCACTGAAAAATTCTGAAACCTTTGGATTTACTCGATGAGTCTCCCAGCAGATTATAGGTGAAGCTACCAGAAAGCCAACAAGGAAATGCACACATTGTGATTTCCATCAGTGGCCATTTTACAACAATTGAATGTAATATTTATTGACA